GGAACTGTCACCATGACTACTCGAGACAACAAGAGCTGAACGATTAGCAAGCACACCGACTCCGTGTTAGATGAACCAGTAGAGAAGGAAGCACGCTGCAGCGGGAGAAAACCTCCAGTAGAGATGAAAGACTAACCAACCCAAAATCTGAGAACAAATAGACTCGTATTCGGGTTTTCAAACCACTAAAATCGAACAACATTCAAATCCTCATGTTGCTTCTGCCAAACCACTGCATCGTAGTAAAGGGCTGGTAGAGCTTCAATTCCTCACACACTCTCCGAACATGAGAGTAATAGTTCTCAAGACTTAGAGTACCCTGCTCCAGACGAAAATATTGTTTGCATACTTTATATGCATGAGTGAAATCCCTTTGGCCGTGTCAAGATAAAGCAAAGTAGAACTGATATTAGGCTCAATACTATTTAATAGCAATGAAATAATCTAAGCATCTTCTTGTTCCCACTTATCATACCCAGGAGTACCTTCCTTGGGTTTAGTGTCTACTAAATATTTCTTAAAGCCCTTACCTCTAAGAAACACTTGAACAGATCGTAGCCACAAAACATAATTGGTCCTATTGAGTTTAACAGATGTCATGGGACCATTAAGTAGAATCGTAGGAGAAAAATTTGGTGAGATGGATGAAACAAGATCAATCTGACTATCATCATTTTTATTCTTGGGTTCCATAATAATATAGCAATAATAGAAGCAAAGGAAAAGGAGAAACCGTGATACCAAGGCTGGAAGAACACCAAGGAGCACGAAACAGTGGATTAGGTGCCTGAACCGGACCAAATAAGGTTGCTGGAGTGATGTACCAGACTGAACAAGGCTGTTGGAATACTGAACCGGGCTGGAAAAGTGGACTGGACCACTGAACCGGACCAACAAGGCTCTCTGGACTCTTGAACCGTGATCCGGTCTAAGTTAAACTGTGGGCTGGACCGGGTCTGGACTTAAAAACAATTTAAGTTGTGAGCTGGACCCAATCTGATCTTGACCCAACTCCTCGGGTTGGATCTCTTCGTCTTCTTCGCTACCTAGGGTTCCAAGAAGACCCTTTGGTCTGCGACAACAACAAGACCACCACAACCACACCACTACCACGGAGAATACTACTCGATGGTGAACAGAAGGCACTCCACCACCACAACCGATCACGCCACCACACTAACAAGGACCACCATAACAACACCACAACACCACCACCACGAACGACACAAGTGGGCTAACAGAGACCACAGGATGAATAAAAACCACACAACAGTGTTACTGTGTTTAGAATTGTTTAAGCTCTGATACCAAGTTAAAAACTTAATCTAGCTCTCATACATCATTTGTATTTATAGTTAACATACAATAATAAGAATTACATATACATCCTCTTACTATTAACAATTTACACATATTACCCTACTATTCTTAACATGATAAATATGGAAGACCAATCTATGCTATTAAGGTTTTTGATGACCTTACTCCACGTGTATCTCAACCATCTTGACCAGTGGACATACTACATCTACATCTAACTTTCATGATGAACTTATTTCTCAACTCAGCCAACAATTGTCTTCACATATGCCTACTTCAACTATTGGTTTGATCACTACAAGTAATTTTGCACATGTGGCAGTTCAATCAATTTCACCATCTTGGATTATTGATTCAAGAGTTAGTGTTCACATGTATGGTATTTCTTACTTGTTTTCTAAATTTTACTTGTCTAACTTCCGAATAGAGTTAGTTGATGATTCTTTTAGGCTAGTGCGTGGGACTTGTGATCTTCATCCCATTAAATTCTTGTCGTTAACATCTAGTTTATATGTCCCTCAGTCTCCATTTAACCTGTTATCTACGAGTCAATTAACCAAGTCTATAGTATTTGGTGACTTTTTCTCCATCCTCTTGTGCTTTTCAGGACCTCTAGACACAGAAGGTGATTGGTTTAGGGCATGAACAGAGTGGGTTTTACTACTTGGATTCTAGAGTTACTGTTTTGGCCTTGAGTGCTATAGTTTTTTTTTATCTCCAGTGGCATTTTCGATTGGATCATCCATTATTGCAAAAGTTTTATCAAGTCATTTTTAGTCTAAGTCCTTCTATTATGTTAGAGTGCAGGGCTTGTCAATTAGGCAAGCATAATTGTACTTCCTTTCTTGCTAGTAGTTAGAGTCGTCTGTATAGTCCTTTTGCAATTGTTTATTTTGACATTTGCGATCCTTCAAGAATAAATAGTACTTTTGGATTTCATTATTTTGTAATTTTTGTTGATAATTATTCTCATATGATTTGATTTTTTCTTATAAAGAATCGATCTGAATTGCCTAAAATTTTTCTTACATTCTATAATAAAATTTTGGTACAGTTTGGTAAACATATTAAGATATTTCGTGTTGATAATATTCTTGAGTATGTACAATCATTTTAACAAAGTTTCATTTGAAAATATGATCCCCGAATAATATTCACCTATGTGTACAACAAAACAATCATATGACAGCTCTAAAAAGTCATATGTTGAACAAAGGAAGTGAAAAAAAAAATGAAGTTGCTTTTAGTCGCAGGAATTTGTAATCGTAACAATTGTTGAAAACTTCAATGCACATAGTATAAGAAAAACACAAAATAATCATACACTGTCGAAAACTTCATTACTTGTAGGACAAAAATGCTTGTCCCCCACTTGAGTAAGCCATTTCATTTACCACAATCATCGTATAAGACAAAATGCACATCTATAAAATAAAACATAACAGACTTTAATAAGTTTATTCGATGGTCTCAAATGTACTTATTCAAAGACTACCAACATCTCTCTCAAAATCATTCACATTGGACCGTACCTTCAAATACAAGTTATTTTTAGTTATAATATGATAGGCATGATATGAATTTGAAAGATTCTCAAATTTTCTGCCTTATTTCATTCCAAAGGGGACGCTTGCATTCCACCCAAGCATCACGCCAACACATTGCCCAACCCTGCATTGTCCAACTTCGACTTCTAATTGAGATTTAACACCCCACCAAATCCTCCATGATTCTGAAGTAATGTTACAACTAGGAGCGTTTCTCCGGTTGTATCTGTTATTCGGTAGTTTTCCTGCGAGACCGGCCCCACAGTGGAGAAAAAGAAGCGGTGGATTTAAGTCCCATCAATAAAGAGAGCCTCAAAATTTTGAAAGACTATAAATATAGTTCAAGTCAATTTTAACCTATTAAAATTAGCCTTATAAGAAAGCCCCATATGAAGGCCCAAATTAACAAAAAAAATTCAAGACTGATTTTGGGCCTAAATTTGCAATTCATTAATCTCACACAATAACATTTAAAAAAAAAAAAAGAAACTATATTTTGTACCTAATTTAGCTATTTTATCTTGTGATGTGATGGATCATAACTATGAAATTGATAGTGGGTCGCAACTAATAGTAAGATCCACTGTCAATCTAATAACATAAAATGATAAGATCGTCAAATAAGGTCACTAAATAAGGTTCATGTAATATTGTCATTTTTATTATAATCTTAAAAAACTTAATCAAACATATATTTTGTGAGTAATGTCTAATTCATAAAAAAATAATTTTATAAGAGTGTCGATGACGAGACGACATAACCTGTCGAATAATCTTTGAATTTGAAACTTTTGGAATTTTTTATTTAATTTAAAAATTAAGTCAATTAGTTATACTATCAATAAAAAAAGATATGTTAGAAAAACTTCAATACGAATACTAAACAATTAATATACATTCAGAAAAAAAAATTAAATATTAAAAAAAATTACACTATTATTAACAAAAATTTCAATTGAATTTATCATTTTAGGCCTCAAAACATATGAAGCCACCCCTGTTTTCTTGATAACTTCTCACCTATAAGGTACCACCGGAACGAAGTTGCATTTGTGTGGAGGCATTTTCTTAAGAGCGGTTGTAGCCTTAGCAACTGAATAACATTTGGCAGTCCATTTAAGGGTAAATCCTAATTTAATGGGAGATATTTTATTATTTGACTTGACCAAATCGGAATTTAATGCAAGATATTTACATTTAAACCCAACTTGGGGATGGAGTCTTGGATTTTTTTTGGACCCACAGTGAATCGAATAAGAATTAGAGAGGTTTTTTTTTTGGTCATGAATTAGAGAGATTAGGTTCAATCTGCAGTTGAGTGAAATTTCATTTAATCTGAGAATTAAGCCTGAATTCAAGCTCATGATGATAGCTTTATAATGGGGATTCAACCTGAATTAGAGCCCATTAGTGCCGGCATGGCCACAGTAGAGGCACGAATACAGGCATGCCGTGCGTGGGCCTTTTGTTTTTGTTTTTTTTTTTAAAATTTGGTTCAAAAGGACAAATTTACCCCTTCCAGCAGCTATAAAAGGACTAATCCTAGGGGTAAATTTGTAGTTCAATGTTTATATAAATTCTCTACAAATATGCCAATGATGCATAAATCATAGACTGTTGTTATATGTGCTATTGACCCAAAGTTAATTGGTTTTGTATTGAAATACCATATTCACCTTGGATAAGGTAAGAAATGGTACTTACTTTAAATTTTACTAAAGAAAAAAATAACATGAAATTAAATTCCAAACAACGCGATTTAGGCACGGTTATGAGATGACTTAGGCGCAGAGCACGACAAGACATGAATACGGATTGCACCATTACATGCCCAGCTGGGCCTTTCTGTTTACTGGTCCTAACCTCAAAAGATAATTATTTTTTTCTATCTTTATTTTTTCAAAATACAAATAAAAACTTCATTAAATTCATCAAGAAGATGTAAAGTCAATACAGATTGCTTTTAAGCCATTTCAGTGGGTCCAAGAACCCTATCTTGTCAAAACTATTATAATACAAAAGCACACGCACATTTCAAAGATTGCTTTGACATCATACAACACAATAATACAACCCCAAAGGAGTTTTTTTATTCTATAGATTGGGCAGAATATCTAGACAAAAGGTGTGGTCCAAACATCTCTGCCTTATCTTGCCAACTAACCACTTGATATGAAAGTGAAACCATTGAAAAAAACATTAAATTCTCAAAGCATCAATAGGCCTCTTCCCCTGCTGGAAGAACTCAAAACAATTAGCAGTGTAATCCACAAACCATCTCTGCCTTATCTTGCCAACTAACCACTTAATATGAAAGTGAAACCATTGAAAAAAACATCAAATTCTCAAAGCATCAATTGGCCTCTTCCCCTTCTGGAATAACTCAAAACAATTAGCAGTGTAATCCACAACTTTCTTGTAGAGCCTTGGCCTTTTCTCATCAATCAAACCCTCTGCTGGTTCAACCACACTTGTTGGATCAGGAGCAAAGAAAAAAGCAGCAGTGATCCTTTCTCTCTCTTTGTTTGTCACAACCCTGTGCATTGGGCTCTTGTATATGCCATTGGTCATTATCTGCAGATTTTATTGACCTAATTTTAAGCAAAGCAGACACCAAAAAAAGAAGAAAAAGGAAAGAGTGGACCCTTAAAATTGGGCTTTAAACAAGCCACTACCAAGTTAAAGGAAATCTTCTTTGAAATATAAATATTCCCAAAAGCAACTAAGTCAAAAGAAAATGTCATATATAGGTACAACTCTGGTGAGTTGGGGTTGGTTAAGAGGTTAATCCGACTCAATTCAAGTTATTAAAACCCACAAATCGAGTTGAACACATACACTTTAACTTAAATAATACCTATATTCAGATTTGAGGACTTGGGTTACACAATTTGGGTTGAGATCGGGTCAACTAAAGCTTAATTCTTGGGTTACATAATTTGGCCTAAAAATATGGATCTAATTCAGTTGAACTCCCAAATATGATCATCGAGTTATTAAGTACATGCTAGAATTTGGTTCAATTTAGGTAGAATTTGGATCTGACTTGGGTCAAATCTGGATTCATTAGTTGGGTTGTGTCTCGAGTTCCCCGGACCCCAACCTGAATATTATTTGAAAGTTCAGATCTTGTATCCAAATCCAACCTGTATATTAAAAATATGACTAAAGCTAGATGAACTTAAAAATTAAATTTAAAAATTAGATTTGATAATTCCAATCATTGAATAGGTAGTGAATCTTAATAACTATTGAGACTCACAGTGAAATCAATGGTTGTAATTATTAAATCTAATTTTTAAGTCTACTTTTTAAGTCCATGTAGCATTGCTCTAATATTTGACCAAGGATGTGATATAATCAACAATCTCCTTACCTCAAGTTGATCACCAACATTGAAGACAATGGCATCAGGAATAATGGGAGCTCTATACCATTTATCATCTTTCAGGAATTGAAGGCCTTCCACTTCTCTGTCTTGCAGAAGATAAGTAGTCCCTGAGGCATCTCCATGTGCTTTTGCAGCAAGAACAAGATGAGGGGTTGGGCATGGAGGGTACAAGTTAAATCTTGCCAAAGCTGTTGGCTTTTTCCCAAATTGTTTCACAAAACAGTTCTCTTCCAAGTTCAATGACTTTGCTATGGCCTTGAGGATGATCTCATTTATACCTTGTAATTTTGTAGTATACTCACATAGCATTTCACTGCGAGATGAAGAAAAAAAAACTTAAAAGATCTTATGCAAGAGAACCGCAAAAAAAGAAAGAAAAATATGGATTATATAAATATACATGGTTCAAATTGGAAATCAAAAAAACACTAAGGTTTCACTACTCAAATGAAGATTATAAAGGGATAATTGAAATAAAAGAGAATAAGCAAATGAACATAGTAGAATTATAATTTCAAATCAAGAAGAAATCGGATTTCAAAATCACTATCAACCTCTTATTTTGATCGAATCCCAGAAATGGGTCGAAAAAATATGCCCCACTCTATGGTCCAAAACTCGTAATATGTTATTTAATCAAACCGGTATAATATTAGAGCAGGCACAAGTCGAAAATTAAATGTAGGACTTTTTATCACAAAAAATACCTACTAATCAATCTGATTCCAACCCATTTTGTAACTTTTTAAATTTTAAAACTTAGAACAAGGAAAAACATGATGAGTTTACCTGAACTTTTCGGGATTTTTGGGCCACTTTTTGAGTTTTCTGATATTTTCGGGGAGAGTATTGAGATACAAACGGTCATTCCAATCAAGAGTCTGTTTCTCTGAATATATTACATCATTTCCATATCCATCTATGTCATTTGCTTCTCTGGAGTATTTCTTCTTCTCTTCCATTGGAAGATGAAAGAATTCTCTGGTAAGATCATGCACTTGGTCTAGAAATGAACTCTCAATTCCATGATTTATTGTCTGAAGTCCAGAAACCATAGATATCATTAGGATAAGATTATGGTTAAAAACTGATTTTTCAGTTTCGGTACTACATAGTTTTTTTTAACCAGGTACTATATAATTCAAAAAAAAAAAAACAGTTTTGGTAGAATTATTTGTAATCGTCAATCGCAAAATAATAAGTAAAATGAAATTATGTAATACTTTCCTTATCATCAAAGGATAAAAAGAGAAGATATAACGTTAAAGAAAAATCATGAGAACTATATTATGTCCTCCTCTTTCCGGACAACACAAATAGACTCACCGACAGTCAAATAATTTGTGAACCTCCTAGAAATATTTCTATAATGTTTCTCTTCCATTACCTCTCATCTGAAAGCCTTCTTCAATTATTTACTAGAGCAAATATGATTTAGAAATCCATCCATCCGCACATATGATTATGGTGCTAGACTAAAATGAAAAGCCTATCATGTTGGTAACATGTAATAATGATCAACATGAGGATGGCTTTGGAATGCAACAATAATAATAAGGTCCCAAAAAACAAGAAATAAGTTCACACACACAAACACACACTTTTCTCACTTGACCCAAGAGTTTGACATTCATTTATGAATCTTGAAGAAGCAAAAGGTTTCCAAGAATATGATGATCTGTAAGTTGAGAAGTGAGTTCTTTAAGTTAATGCAACTAGCATTATTTACCTTAGACATTCAATAAGCATTACACTTACGATTGCAACACAAATTTCGAAATAACAAGATAACCTTCAATTCACATGTATCTAAAACCGGTTTAAGGCAATAAGAGATACTCAAACTTAAGACGTGTATATTTAGAACTCGCCATTTGTGCGGATTCCTCTTCATTCTTTATTTCATTGATTTATTCCTTCATTTTGAAACTTTGGAAGTGAGACCTTCATTTTCCAACATAGGAAGTGACCAAGGATAAGATATGAAGAACATAACTGACTCTTTAGAACATGATCAATGAGATCAGAGAAGAGCTTTGAGATCAAACCTGAAAGTAACCGCAATAGCCGAGAGCAGACCGGAGCCGATCGAGTTGTTCTTCACCCTCTGGTGAAGAGGATGCAAGCAGACCAAGATCAATGACTGGAATATCCAGCACTGGAAAGGAAGATGCAACATTCAATCCAATACCATCTTTCAAGATGTATCTTGATGGAGGTCCACTTCGGTTCATAGACAGTTCTTGGACTGAACTGGCCAGTGATTCTACCTCTGCAGCCATGTTTTTTAGCTCTGCAGGTTTGATACTAATGATCAGATTGTGTTTGGGAGTTGAGAGAGCAGTGGCTGTGGCCTTATAGTTTGTATTGAGGCTGTTATAGGGAAAACGTAATGAATGTGGGGGTGGATGTAATTTCAATTATTTAGGTGGTAGCTAGGTGCCCCTGTAGACCCAACTTCCTTGACCGGAGATTTTATTAAGTATATGTGGGCCATCATGAAAGATCAGACTAATAATATCAGGTTGGACTTTTTTTCTTTTTTTTGGCTCGACTTGTTGGACCATACTTTTTTTTATCAATGGGACCCACAAACCATACTTTCAAGTACGCCATTTTATAATAAAAAATTTATCATTTCTATGGGTAATTCATTATTTTTATGAGTATTTTTATTATTTTTTTAATAAAAAAAAATTATCACTTGATGATTTATTATATTTTTATCGCATTTATGGATATTTTTACCACACTTATATCTTATTAAATTTGTCACTTAATCACTCAGACCTCCTGATATTTGAAATATTACACACAGACCCCTTAAGGTTTATACCCGCGTAACACTTACACCTCTACTATAAATATATTCGTTAATAAATTATACTAGACCCCTTAAAGTTTATACGCGTATAATATTTAGACTTCTTAAATTTAAAATATTATATTTAGACAAAAAATACTTCAATCAACGATAGAGTATCAAATATTTTAAATTTTACAACCAAAATTCATGTTCTATTGTATCATTTATTGAGATAAAATTAAAAATAAAAATTTAATTTTTTCTTAAAAAATTGTAATTAGTATACAATTATAGTATCTATTGGAATAAAACTAAAAAATTAAACAAAAGGTCTAAGTCATTTTTAATAGAACATGAATTTTACAACCAAAATTCATGTTTTATTATGTCACTTATTTAAATAAAATCAAAAACAAAAATCTATTTTTTTTTAAAAAAGAATAGTTAATATACAATTATAATATCTATTATAATAAAATTAAAAAATTAAATAAGGATTCAAATTGTAATGAACACAATATCTTTTAGCTTCAATTCGGATAGTTTGATATTTTAATTTGGTCATTTAAACGACCAAATTAAATTCTAATAGACAATATAATTGTACAATAAGTAGGATTTTTTAAGAAAAAATTGAATTTTTATTTTTTATTTTATTTCAATAAATGGTACAATAGAACATGAATTTTAATTGTAAAATTTAAAATATTTAATATTTAATATTCAATCTTTGATTGAAGTATTTTTTTTTAAATATAATATTTTAAACTTAAAGGGTCTAAATAATATATGTTTACAAACTTTAGGGAGTCTGAATAATATATTCAATCTTTGATTGAAGTATTTTTTTTTCTAAATAAAATATTTTAAACTTAAGGGGTCTAAATAATATATGTTTACAAACTTTAGGAAGTCTGAATGTAATTTATTAATAGATATATTTACAGCAGGAGTCTAAGTGTTATGTGCGTTACAAATTTTAAGGGTCTGAACGTAATACTTCAAATATCAGTGGTTTGAATAATTAAGTTACAAACTTTAAGAGATACGAGTGTAATTCTCCCTTATTTTTATCATTTTTTAGGTACCACAACAATAATAAATACACCAACAAATGTGATAAATTGAAGTATGGTACTAAAAAAATAAATTCAGCACTTTAGTCAACTCCTAATAGGTTTTATGTCATATTTTTAGAGGTCTTACTTCCCAAGTTTTGAGTCCGAGTTCATTTTAGGATGATTTTATGTGAGGGAATCAATCGTGTTGTGTAGTGTGATTTGTATGTGGTGTTATTCGTATCATGTTTGTGTCCAGACCTACGAAAAAAAAATATATTTAATGTATTTTGAATATTAAATATTAAATTAAATTATTTATTATGCGTATTTAATAATTACGATAATTTTATAATTATTCGTATCAAGTTGGTGTCGGGTTTGTATCAGCATGTCAGGGTTGACACCCCTAATTTTATGCCATTTTACGAAACCTTGGTAACAGGTCGGGTCAGATAAGGCGAACTTGACTTAACCACTATGAATCAAGTCGCTTGGCCAACGCGTTGGTTCGATTTGTGTTAGTTTTTTGGTCATGCATTATTATAGTGAAAAAAAAAATTACGATTTTAAGATCCAACGACAAAGATAATTTTAAATATATGCCTTTTATAAAGATCATGCTAATTTTTTTAGTACTACGTCGACTTTATTGGGTGTTTACAAAGGGACTGTTATTCCATACCCCAACCAGCAATTTCTATGCATAATGATATGAGCCATTATATTTTTATAGATATTGCAACATTATTGATTCTATATTTTCATATCATAAAATTTATTTATAATTTCTTTTATTAACCATGACTAATTAATGAAAAAAAAGACTAATTAATGTGGCTTTTACTGATTAATGAAAGTTATTTCCTTTTTGTTAATCTTCACAATTACTTTCTCTTTTGTTTAAATTTGTCAATCAGTTTTTATAAAATGAAGCATCGAAACAAGACAATGAACTCCACTCACACAATCACTTGTCCAAGGGAGAACACCTACCGAATTCATGGATTTGGACCAACCGTAATACTAGTCTTCCTTGAACTAGCTACCAAAGTCGGTATTGAAAACCGATTGTAAAATAAGATGACATTATACAGACCTTAAAAAAAGTTTCAGAGTTCTTATTGACTAAATAAGTCGATAATTTATTGGAATTCAAATCAGAGCTTCATTAAATCATCAAAATATGAAGTTGATACAAATTTCTGTTCAGCCATTTCAATGGGCCCAAGAACCCTATCTTGTCATGATTATGGTAATAAACGCACACAGACACGCAACAAAGAAAACTTTGAGATCATAGAACACAATAATACCCCCACCCCCACACCCACACAATAGTTTTTTTATTCTAGAGATTGGCAAGAAGATCTAGGCAGTGGGTGTGGTCCATAACATCTCTTATATTACCTTCCCACATACCCACTTGACATGAAACCATTAAAAAAACATCAAATTTTCAAATCATCAATTGGCCTCATGCCCTTCTGGAAGAACTCAAAATAATTAGCAGTGTAATCAACAATTTTCTTGTAACGCCTTGGCCTGTTCTCATCAATCAGCCCTTCTGCCGGTTCAACCACACTTGTTGGATCAGGAGCAAAGAAAAAAGCAGCAGTGATCCTTTCTCTCTCTTTGTTTGTCACAACCCTGTGGATTGGGCTCTTGTATATGCCATTGGTCATTATCTGCAGATTTCATTGAGCTAACTTTAAGCAAACAGCTACCAGAAAAGAAGGAAAAAGGTAAGAGGGCAACCTTACTTTAAACAAGGCACTACCAAAAAGAAATCTATTTTTTTGAGCCACAAACGTTTCCAAAAGCAACCAAGTCAAAAGAGCATGCTGAAAAATTTTCAAGAAAATAATTCTAGGTGAAGTCGGATTAGGGGTGAACTCGAGCGAGTTGGTGGGTTAAGGGATTAATCTAGACCCTCAAACCGAGTTCAACCTGAACACGAAATGAACCTGAGCCCTTCAGCCTACTATCATATTAGAGAACATTTGAACTTGGTTATGCAATTGGGGTTGAAATCAACTTCTATTGGAACTTGATTGTTGGGTTACATAGTTCAGGCTAGAATATCGAGCTATTGAACTCGTGCTAGAATTCGGGATCAATTTGGGTAGAATATGGATCCAATGCATGTTGAACTTGAATTCATTGGTTTTGGTTAGGTGTCGAGATCCCCAGATCATAACTTAGATATTATTCGAATATAAATCGATTTAAAATCTTGTATCCTAGAACAACCCAGATATTTAAAATCTTTGACCAGTTATCTTCTTACCTCAAGTTGATCACCAACATTGAAGACAATAGCATCAGGAATTATGGGAGCTCTGTACCATTGATCATCTTTCAGGAATTGAAGGCCTTCCACTTCTCTATCTTGCAGAAGAAAGGTAGTTCCTGATGCATCTCCATGTGCTTTTGCAGCAAGAACAAGATGAGGGGTTGGGCATGGAGGGTACAAGTTAAATCTTGCCAAAGTTGTTGGCTTTTTCCCAAACTGTTTCACAAAACAGTTCTCTTCCAAGTTCAATGACTTTGCTATGCCCTTGAGGATGATCTCATTTATACCTTGTAATTTTGTAGTATACTCACATAGCATTTCACTGCAAGATGAAGAAAAAAGTTTAAAATAAATGTGCACGAGACACGCAAACAAATGAAAAATTTTAGAATATACAAATTTTGGTGATTCAATACGGAAGTTTATGTTCACAGTTAAAGTTAAGTGGTAAAGTTTTATTATCAAAATGAATATCATAGGGTTCATTGAAATGAAAGAGGATAAGTAAATTGACTTATAATATTATAGAGTGTCTTGTTTCTTAATAGAACTAAAATTTTAAATCGAGAAGAGATCAAATTTCAAAATTACCATCATCCTTTCAAATCGGTTCGAATTCTAGAAATGGATCCAAAGAAAATTGTCACATTCTGTGGGCTAAAACTAATGAAAAAATTTTAATTAATTCAACGGGTTTCATATCAGAGCATGTACAAATCAGAATGAAAAACAAGAATTTCCCACAACAAAAATTACCCAAGTTAAACCCATCTTGTAAATTTGCAAATTCTGAAACTTGGAACAAAAAAAAACATGAATTTACCTAAACTTTTCAGGATTTTTGGGCCACTTTTCGAGTTTTCTGATTTCTATGGGGAGAGTATTGAGATACAGACGGTCATTCCAATCAAGAGTTTGCTTCTCTGAGTAAACTACATCATTCCCATATCCATCTATGCCATTTGCATCTCTGGAGTATTTCTTCTTCTCTTCCATTGGAAGTTGAAAGAATTCTCTGGTAAGATCATGCACTTGGTCGAGAAATGAACTCTCAACTCCATGATTTATTGCCTGAAGTCCAGAAGTCGTGGATATCATTAGGATAAAGCTATGGCCCAGATACTGATTTTTCAGTTTCGGTACTATTTGTAATCCTTGATCGCAAAATAATAAAGTCAAATGCAACTATGCAATACTTTCTGAATAAAGTCATCAAAGGATTTTTTTTTTTTTGTGGAGCCAACGTCTCATCAAAAGATAAAAAGAGGAGATATAACATTAAAAAGTAATTCTAGAACCATATTGTAACACATGATTATGGTGCTAATCTATAATGAAGAGCCCAACTTGTCCATTAACAAGTTATAATGATGAACATGATGAGTGCAGCTTTGGAATGCAACAATAATGGTAAGTCCCAAGAAAGAAGAAACAAAATTTATCTCTCTCTCTCTCTCTCTCTCACACACACAAACAAAAGGTTGAGTTGTTAATACTCCAAGTCCAAGAATATGATGATCTGTAAGTTGAGAGCTGAGTTCTTTAAGTTAATTCAACTAGCATTATTTACATATAATATTCAACTAGCATTAGAACTGTGCTTTGCTCATCCTCTATCATCCAGGCTAACTAAAAATTAACTGTCTAGCAAAGATTTCTTCTCGGGATAATCACTTGCCCTTTAGATTTATGATTACAACACAAATCTTGAACCGACACGATACCCGCAGTTCGCATGCATCTAAAACAGGTTTAACAGGAGTAGAGAGGCGCAAACTTATGACGCACAGATTTAAAACTCGCCATTTGACTACTAAATCAACCAGTGCAGGTTCCGGGTTCTTCTTCATTCTTCTTCTACTTCTTTATATTATTGACTTGTTCCTTCATTTTTTAACTTAGAAAGTAAGACCTTTATTTTCGAGCTAAGGCGGTGAGACCAAGCATAAGATATTACGAACATAACTGAATCATTGCAACATGATGAGATCAGATAAGAGCTTTGAGATCAAACCTGAAAGTAACCACAATAGCTGAGAGCAGACCGGAGCCGGTCAAGTTGCTCTTCACTCTCTGGTGAAGACGAAGCAAGCAGACCAAGATCAATAACTGGAATATCCAGCACTGGAAAGGAAGAGTCACCATTCAATCCAATACCATCCTTCAAGAGGTATCTTGATGGAGGTCCATTGCGGTTCATGGACAGTTCTTGGACCGAACTAGCCAGTGATTCTACCTCTGCAGCCATGTTCTTTAGCTCTGCTGGTTTGATGGTAATGATCAGATTGTGTTTAGGAGTTACAGAGAATTTGCTGTGGCCTTACAGTATGAGTTGAGGCTTTTATAGGGAAAACATAATGAATGTGGGGGTTGGGGTGTAATTTCAATTGTTTGGGTTGGTAGCCTAGGTCCCCCATGGACCCAACTTGGTTGGCTGATAATTTCTTTAATCATGTGAGCCATAATTAAGAGCCATGCTATTACGACTTTTTTCTGGTTTTATTTGTGATGCACTATTGCAAGTGAGGTAGATGGCGACTTTCGAACTCACGAATTTAAAGTTCAATAGTAAGGTTAACATGTCCCATGGTCTGGTGTATACCGGACTATCGGGTTAGCTCATGTGCCACTGATTTTTGGCCAAGGCTTAATTAGTTTGACATATTTTTTTTAAATTTGTTTTAATGTTTTTTGTTTTTTAAATTCTGTTGTTTACGATTAAGGTTTTGCGTGGAAGCTTACACCGCCTTAGAATGGAATATTATCACCACCACCTTTTAGCCACTTGGTATTATTTGTTGAATTGAAGATACTTTGTTAGTGGACTAATATGAACAAAGAAACATTAAGATAATAATCAATCTACACAGATAATCCAAAGAGAACAAAGAAAGAACCTCTCTAAAAAAATCGAAGGGAGAGAGCGAGGCCAAACAAAAATACGAGAGAACATATCGGTTTTGACGAGACTTTGAACTCAACAACTCTAATTTGGGAGTGTCAAGAAAATGTTACACTTATTAAATTTTTTTATCAAATTTTTTATTTAAAATCATGTAACATAATTTTTATCATTGAATATTAACCGAACCTAATTATTTAATAATAAAAAAACTGTGTCGTGTCATCCGCCATAGAAATTTGGTATAAAGGCCACCGGCAAGCATAACACCTAGTTTGGCAGTTGTTTTTGCCGCCCATTGATTTATTTTAACCGTGTTTATGTGTGTGTCTATATGTATATATCATGTCATACATGTTAGTTTCTGAATGACATTTGCATATTAAAATAATATAATGGCATATATTAATGCATGTGATTCTCCGTGTTTATGGTATTTTTATGTGTAATAATTTTCTTTCATTTTTTATTCACACAATAAAAATAATAAAAAAATTTATTCTTTCTAGTTTTCCATCCTTCATACCCAACAATAAAGAAACAATATATATTTTTTAAAAAATAAAAAATATATTCCTCCTATTTTTTACTTCGTCCAACCCTTCATTCCTCCATTCAAACTTGCCGATGTGTGACACAACATTTCACATCAAACTTAAGGGAGGTGTGAGATAACATTTCCTTCCTCCAAACCGTCTTTTTCTTCATGCCAACAAGACGAACAACCCACTAAGGGGTGAACCACCAAAAGTCAAAAAGTCATAATTATCTGACAATTTTTAAAGGCAAGTGGTCGGAATTGTGAGGCCCATTAGGACAGTGGATGCCTTGGATATCCATAGAATTGAAGCACCTTAGGATGTCGGACTTGCAATATTCAAAAAAGAGAACATGCAGGCATTTTTCCAAAGAAGATGTCACACTTTTAAAACAAAAAGTTTAGTGTACGAAATTCTTATTGATATAATTTTAAAAAAGGCAAATAGATGGATAAAATCTAATCTTGTGACAAGGGACAATTTTTATGACAAGAGTTTTTTAAGTCAGAATGAAACTATCGTAACACTACATAAAATCTACATATGACTAACTATACAAAATGAGAATTTGATATATATGTGTTTTCAAACTATTGACACACATGGAGCCATCCATGCATGCCCACACACCCAAAAATTGAAAGAAGAAGGATTGTTTTGTTTGGTAGGATGGATAGATAGAAAGTGTAAAAGACAAGTTTTTCAATTGTTTGATATGAAAGAAAAAAAGATGAGAAACGAAAAGTATATAAATTTAATTTACTATATTTCTCTCAAAATTCATTTGCTTATGCATTTACCTCATCCATCCAATGTGAACTCTACTAGACAAATCCAACGGACAAAAATTCCTCCTAGCCCATATTAACGCACATGACTAGTTCTCACCACGTGGTAATATAATGAACCACACACAAGTAACACTTCTTCTTGAAAGTGAATGTCTGTCCTTTTGAAAGGAAAAATGTTACACGCGTTTAAAAAATTGATTTAAAAATGACCGTATCTCCCAATTAGATTTTTAAGTTTGTATAACATTTTTTCTTTTAAAAGTTCCAAGATAGCAACTGACATGTGAAATTAACAATGGGTAAAAAAGTAAAATTGCATGGTTTTGCCCAAACCCTATCGTTTCCCTCTCATTTTCCACCCCAAAAAGTTTGTTGGACACAGCTGAAAAAAATCCTCCCTACTTTCCCTCTAAGCCAAATGATGAAAACTTTTTGTGTCTATCCCATTTTTCTCCCTCCATTTTCTTTCGGCTCTATTTTTCCTCCCAACCAAACATAGTGTAAATAAGCCTGCCTTAAAATATATATATCAACCCATGTTGCTTTCCGATGCAAAGATACTAGGAAATTCAAGTTCAATGTAACAGCTGAGAATGAACTGATAGCAGTTTGTCCAGTTCCACTGCATTGGGCGAAAGATGGCGAAAGACTAAAATCAATTACCCACAATGAAGAAGGACATTTTTAACTATAGAATAAGCTTGAAAGTTGCAATTGAATGTAGTAAAGTTATTACAAAATAGTATTGTTAAATTAGGATTGATTGTGACATATTTTGGATAGTCATTATGGTTTACGATTGCAGGAAAGAAAGGAAATAAAGCATCTCGTTGGATATCCTGTAGTACATTTATTTTCTTGGCTCGGTTCATATGAAATGGTGTATAATAATGTGGCTTGTTTTCCACATATGCCTTTATGAGTAGTTCTTAGCCGGACAGGATTGGATGGTTATTCAATTCAACCTAACCACGCATATTATAGACCATTGACAGCCGTGGAAGCTGGTTGTTCTGGCATGCTTTCCAAGTTATGTTCTCTCTCTCTCTCTCTCTCTCTCTCACCAATAGTTTTGGTGGTTTGTTGTTCTGGTATTTTGGAAGCTGTCCATGTTACCTTTCAATAGGCCAAAAAATAAAAAATAAAAATGCTACTTGAGTTTAATTTGTTAATTTGTTGAATTAGGGTATGATACCCATTAAATTAATAACAGATTTTCAATCAGTAATGGAATATATTATCAATCCAATAGTATAAAGTAATTTAGTCACTAAATTAGATTTAAATAGTATTTCTATATGTTTGTTGGTAAAAACTCATTTAATCTAACCCTAATAGATCGGATAAAAATATTTTAAAGAGTTGTTACCTTTAGGTCCTAAGGTTTTTTTTTTTTTTTGGTTCAACGAATAGGAATATTCGAATCAGTTTATGCACATTTCGATTAATCTTCTCATCGAAAAATGCTTTGGTGAACTTGATGTCTATGATTTGTGAGTGATTATGTGTATTATAATTTTATATTATAATCACTTCATTAATTTAAAAAAGACATGCAAGTGAGACAATTCCCAATTATAAAAAAATCTCGTTACTTGTTGAAGCAACCACTCCACATATGGGAATCAAGACACCTATATTTGATTCTTTTCAGATTTTGAAATGGCGAAAAATTGTTTTTTTTTTTTCTTTGTAGTTTTTACTTTGCAAGTTGCATGCAGAAAATTCAATACAGTCTGTTGTCAAAGTTCTCTAGTACATGGTGAAGGGAATCTAGTTAGGTTCTTCTTTGTTCAATAAAGTTGATTTTTTGTGGTGCTTCTACGAAAATCAGTCCAATTTGTTGGTATTCCATTAGACAATAAGAGGAAAAATCTGCATCTGGAGTAGGTTGGATTCAAGTTTTTTTTTTTCCCTGAGTTTTGAGCTCATCAAGTCAAACATCAGATTTCACTATCACTAAAAAACTAGATTTTGATCAAAACATCAGACTCTACCCTTTTCTGGAGGTCAATAATATAATTACTACCTATGACCTTAGGGCAAAATTCTTGAATTTTGTTGGAAACTCAGCCAATGTTTGCCTTTGTTTATATGAGTATTTTCTATAAATTTCTTCAAATTATATAAGCTCACCGTAAAAAAAAAATAAAAGAAATCCCAAAAAATTTAAAAGGTCAAAGTTAAGGGGCGAAGCCAGAAATTGACTTAAGGGTGGACACGACCTATATTTTATATATGTTGATAAAATAGGACAAAGCAATGTAGATCACAAATCTAAATTCAATAAAAATTTAAGTTAAGTACAAAAAAATCAAAGCCTAAGATCAAAATAGTTTTTTTAAATAAAAAAGAAAAAAGTCATTAATACTCTATTTTTTAACAAATGGTTATATTAAAATTAATCCCCAATGGAACAAATCATTCATTAGGTATAGAAAAATAGAGATTAATTGTACATCAATTATAAGTGATTTTACCTTCAAATTTTGAGTTTAAAACAACACACACACACACACAGATATATATATATATATATATATATATATATATATATATATATATATATATATATATATATATATATATATATAAATTGAGATGTTGCAGATCCGCCCAAAATATGGTAAAAGGACAAATGTCGCAGCCTCCCAAGTAAATTCTTAGACCCGTCCATATTTTTCAGCAACATCAAACTCAGTTTCCTTGTATGTCCACACCAAAAACCTTAGTTGTCTATGTAAACTAGGACTTCAGTACCATACAGTACCTCCAACTTTATCACTTAAATAGGTATTTTTATAATTTTTGTAAGTTATTTTATAATTAAAATATTTATTTTTTTGGTGGATGATTTATCATATTTGCTAATATTTTTATCATATTTGTGATAATTATTTTTATCACTTTTCTTTAGGACAAAAATAATTACTATATTTGTGAGTGTTTTTACTTTTTACTACATTTATGTGTATTTTTATCATATTTGTTGATGTTTTTATCAATGTTATGATAA